TTGAAATTTAAATGATAGTATATATCTGAGAGTTAAATAATTTAAATGAGATTAATATTTGTTATGTTCTTAAGAGTATAAATAGTATGGTACCCCTACCTGGAAACTACAAATCAAAACCACAATGACATATCATCTCACCGCAGTTACAAGGGCTTTTGTTAAAAAGCTCTCATAACTGCTGAGCCATCTTTCCAAGCCCCTAGATGTTCCAGTTGTGGCTGAGCACTCCACAGTTACTTATTCTCTGCATTTTGACTTGTTCTAATTTTCTGCATTAGCTAAAATGTTCATCAGTAGACAAATGGATAAAGAAAATGCTCCGTATGTGAACAGTAGAATAGTAAAATAGTTTTTGGCCTTAAAAAGGACATGGTCCAGGACTGGAGAGATGGCTCAGCAGTTAAGATCACTGACTGCTTTGCAGAGGACCTGAATTTGGTTTCCATTACTCACATGGTGGCTAACAACTACTGAACTCAGAGGGACCAACACCTTCTTCTGGCCTTTGCGGGCACCAGGCTCACTCATGGTGCATATACATACATGTAGGCAAAACCCTTATAAAATAAAAATAAAGTCTTTAAGAAAGTGCAAAGTTCTGTTATTTGCAGCAATATAAATGGAACTAAAATCACAAGGTTAAGTGAAATAACTGAAGCAGAGAGAGACTGGCACCTCATATGTGCAGTCTGAAAAGCTGAGCTCATTTAACCAAGTAAGCAGAGCAGTGTTATCAGAGACTGAGGAAAGGAAGGGAAGGGAGATGAGCAGTTGTTAATAGAAAGTAACAGTCAGGTTCAAGGACTGAATGTTGGTGTCTAGTGCATGGAGAGTGATTATAATTGTCCTGTATAATCCAAAAGAGATGGAAGAGAAAATGTTAAATGTTCTCATCACAAATACAAGAAATGTGTCAGATGATGGAAAACTGTCTGTTGAAGTTTCCTAAAGAAGTTTCATCTGTGTTGACTCTGCAGACTGGCTGAAGAGACTTCTCTTATCATAGAGAGTGGGAGTACTGCAGATCTCCTTAAAAGTAATTTTATCATCCACCTCTGAATGTGATATATCATCCTTTGACAATTAAGTAAAATCTTAGAGATTAAATTAACAGGCCATTAACTTCTACCCAAAACAAAAACAAATAAGCAAAAAACCCAAAAGGATTATAAATAGAAGTGATTCAGTTTCTAAAACTTGTTTTATATTGGGTGAAAATAACCCTTTATGAGGTTCTAGATAGGTTTCATGTTAGTCACAAATTTAAAAAATGCTTTTTTCTGTTTCTATGGAAATCAGCTTAGTTGAGTAAATTATCCACTTAGGAGAAAGTGACTTTTCATTACATGAAATTTTTAAAAAGTTAATAAAAGTATACTGAGTTTTCTTTTTTCCTTGCAGATTTACGTTGCCTGGTGAAGTAGACATTGACTCTGTCTCATTTGAGGAGGTCTCACCCTCTGATGAGCCCGCCAAGAACAGAAAGGAGAATGAGCTTCAGAAGAGACGGGAGCTACTTAAACTAGTGAACTTCTCAGAGTAAATGAGTTTTTACTGTTCACTTGGAAATTTCTTTTAAATATTGGGTCATTTCCATATGTCTTTTACCATTGAGAATTACTGTAAGTTATTTCAGCAACTTAAATGCATTAATTTTTCCTTAACTCTTACGGTTTTATTTTCCAAGAGCTATAGACTCAATGGACTTGGAATCATTCAATTTTTATCTCCTAGAGAAGTGTCCTTCTGTGTAAATACAAGTGACCTAATTGAGTTCTTCAAAACAGGTTGACCTTGGAACAAAAGGAACTGTGCCGTTGCAGACTGAAATTATTAACTTACCTAGATCGACTTGCAACATACGAGGTAAGGAATGATTTTAATCAGACCAGTTAGGCTCATGACCTGTTATTTACAAATGCTATCGCTACCCTACTATCTGATTATTATTAGTCTTTAAAGCTGTTTAGGTGGGAAAATTAATTTTTTGAAAAGTGGGACTCATTTTAGTAAAAATTAAACTTTATAAAAGGATAATTTACTTTTATGTTACTATTTTCAGGTGCTTCTAGTATGAAATTTTGAATATACACTGAGTTTTAGTAATCTTAGTATGAATAGTCTCACCTATTTTAACACTTTGGTAGTTGACTGAATTTAGTTGATTGATCTTTGATCTTTAGGGCCATACTTAATTTAAAAACAATGCGCTTCTTGGTTCTTTGGGAACAAAAGCACCAATGTCTCCATGTTTGGCATGACTTTAGCATTCTGTGGTGTTGTACTATTTTAGATAGTGTTAAAGGTATAAGTGGAAGTCAGGTGTCTTGTGGCCCATGCCTGTAATGGTGGTATTTGCGAAGCTGAATCAGGGCAATGACCATGAATTTGAGCACAGCTTGAGCTGTATAGTGAGACCTTGTCTCAAAAAGCCAAAAGTAAACAAACAAAAAAAGGGGGAAAAAGGTAAGTGGAAATAGGCCACTTTTTAACATTTGTACATAGTTAGTTTGTACATGTTTTCACATGGCCCTCTTAGCTGAAGGTGTTCAGGATTTTTTTTTTTTTTCTTTATAATTTCTATCTGGGGATTGAATGCAGGGTCATGTACATGTCAGGTAAGTGCCCTACCACCAACCCCAACCCACTTCATGCTTTAAAATCAAGTTCTGATGTGAAGTTTGGCCTCACATGGAGATTATTTCCTCATTTAGTGTGCTATGCCTCCCTTCTATTGGCTTATCAATCACTCTTGGCCTGTGTACTGGTATTTACTAGGCTTTCACAGTCATGTTAATGTGATACCTGTCCTAAGGATGCTGAAGGTAATTAACACTTCTGACCATTCATGCAGACTCCAAAGTCTTTGATTTCTCTACCCTGTTGAGATGTTTTCAAATAGAATACGAAAACAAACAATAACAATTGGTGCTGGCAAAATTTAATATCCATGTGCAGAAGGGTGAAGTTAGATCCACATTTCTTACTCTACATGAAAGAAAAATGAAGAGGGACTAGAGAGATGTGTCAGTGGTTAAAAGGTCTTGCTACTCTTGCAGAAGACCTGAGTTTGGTTTCCAGCACCCATTTTGGGTAGGTCCCAACTAACTGTCTGCAATTGTAGCTGAGGGGGATCCAGTGCCTCTACCCTCTGCAGGAACCTGCATTCACATGCACAAACCCCTACACAGACACAGACACACACACACAGAATTAAAAATAAAAAAAAAATTTAAATAAAGAGAAAGGCTGGCTAAGAACACTGATTGTTCTTTCAGCGGACTCAGGTTCTATTCCCAGCACCTATATGGCAACTAAAGTAGTTAATAACTCCAGTTCTAGGGAATCTGATGCCCCCTTCTGGCCTCTCTGGGCACTGCATGAATATGGTGTACTTACATATATGCAGGCAAAACATTCATAGACATAAAAATTGTAAATAAAGTATCTTTAAAAAGAAAAAAGAAAAATATTAAAAGGGCTATTTCTGTAGATATTAAAAATTGTTGGGAAGAGACCTTAGCAGACTCCTTGAGAGTACCTGGATCTGGCCTCTACATGGTGGTGAGCTTTCCCAAGTAGTACCGTGCCCAACCCCCTATATTGGAACCATGTATGTGGCCCCTCCCACTATGCTAGGGTTAGGCTTCTCTGCCCTTCAGAAGGGGCCTAGACCTTAGCAGACTGCCTGAGAGGGCCTAAATCAGGCCTCCTCAGCCAGCTTCTCAAATTTTTCTGTGACTGCTCCCTAGTAGGGGCCCAGACCTTAAGGAGGAAGCCAGAGAGCACATGCCTGGCACCTGACTTGGGCTTCTGCAGGAGGTCCTCAATAACTGGGCTGAAGCCATCTGGTCCCTCCAATATAAAATCAAAAGACAGAAACTGAGGCGTAGACCAACCGGTTTTACATACTCATAAGAAAACAACCAAACACACTAGTAAAACAGAAGCAGACTTCAACTGAACAAAGGGAGACTTGATTTCATACCACAATCACAAAGAACAAAAGAAATCCACATGACAAAATTACAACAGAAAAATAGTAATATGGAAAACCAAAATAATATGTTCTCACCAAACACCACTAGTCCTATAGAAGAGTTTATAAGGAGAACCTCCTAGAGATAACCAAGGACACATAATTTAAAAGAACAATAGTAAACATGATCAAAGAATCCAACTAATTGAAAGAACATACAATCAGATCAAAGAACTAAAAGAAGATAGGGATAAACTTCAGAATTCACAAAAGAGATAGAAATATTGAGGAAAACTCAGGCTGAAATGAAGAGGGAAGTGAAAAACTCAATAAGCCAATTTGAAACAACAGGAGAAAGCCTCACTGATAGAATGAATGAGATGGAAAACAGACTATCAAGACTGGATGATAAAGTTGAAGAATTGGACCACCCAAGCAAAGATTATGAAAAATTAAAAAGACAGGATTGGAATATGCAGGATATGTGGGGCACTATGAAAAGCCCAAATCTATGCATGATAAGCATAGAAGAAGTAGAAGAATTTCAGGTTAATGATATTAAACAGGGTTGTAGAAGAAAATTTCCCCAAATATAAGAAAGAAATGTCCATACAAATACAAGAATCACATTGAACACCAAATAGACAGGACCAGAAAAGAAACAACTCCCCATGACATATCATAGTATAAACACTAAATGTGTAGAACAAAGAGAGAATACTGAAAGCTGCAAAAGAAAAACAAGTTACATATATAGGAAAACCCATCAGAATTATAGCTGACTTAGCACTGCAAACTCTGAAAGCCTGGACCAGGACCAAAATATTCCCAGTTCTAAATGACAATAGATGCCAACCCAGAATACTTTACCCAGCAAAAATGTCAATTATAGTAAGGGAAAAGAAAAATCTTCCACGACATGAACAGGCTGAAAGAATACATGTCCACAAAACCAGCCCTTTAGCGAATACTGGAAGCAATACAAATACCCCAGGGACAACAGAAAGAAACTAAATAAAGATATATGGTGGAAACACAAAATTAGATGAAGAATGCAAACAAATCAAAATGACGACAACCAATACACATCTTTCAATGATAACTTTAAATATTAATGGACTCAGGGCTGGAGAGATGACTCAGCAGTTAAGAGCACTGACTGCTTTTGCATAGGACCTGGGGTTCCATTTCCAGCACTCACATGATGACTAAGAACCATCCTTAACTCCAGTCCCAGGGGACTCCAAGCCCTTCTGATCTCCATGGCATTGCATGACACAGGTGCACTCACATACATGTAAGCAATACACTTGTACACATAAAATAATAAAAAAAATTAATGGCATGAACTCTCCAGAAAAAAGACAGAGGCTAGTTGAATGGATTAAGAAACAGAATTCATCTTTTTGTTGTCTGCAAGAAACCCAATGGATCTTCAAGGACAGGCACTACCTTAAGGTGAAAGAATGGAAAAGAATATTCCAAGAAAACGGCACTAAGAAATAAGCAGGGGTTGCAATTATAATATCTGACAAAATAGACTTCAAACTACAACTAATCAGAAGTGATAAAGATTCATTCTGATCAAAGGAACAGTTGACCAAGAAGATATTACAAACATGACCATATAGGCACCAAACTCTGGTGGACCCAGTTTCATAAAAATCATACCACAGGACTTTAAGACACAGATTAACCCCAACTCAGTAATAGTAGGAGGCTTCAATACCCCACTATCTCCATTTGATCAGCTTGACAAAAAACAGAGACATATGATTTAATGATACCATACATCAAATGGACCTAACAGACATCTTTCGTATATTCCACCCAAGCACCAAAGAATATACTTTCTATTCAGCACCTCATGGAACTTTTTCTAAAATTGACCACATATTGGGACACAAAAAAAAATGAACAAATACAAAAATATTGAAATAATTACATGCATTCTATCAGATCACAATGCAATAAAGCTTAAAATCAACACTGAAAGAAGTCCTGAACTACATGAACTCATGGAGATCAAACAACATACTCCTGAATAATGAATGGGTCAAAGAGGAAATTAAGATATAAAAGTATTCCTGGAGCTAAACAAAAAGGATAATACAACACACAAAACCTTTGGGGCAATTTAAAAGCAGTCCTGAGTGTCTACGTTAAAAAATCAGAAAGAACACAAATAAATAACATAATATTGCAACTCAAGACTCTGGAAAGGCAAGAACAAATGAACCCAAACCCAGCAGATAAGAAGACAAAACAAAAATCAGAGCAGAAATTCATGAAATAGAAACAAAGAAAACAATACAAAGAACCAGTGAATCTAAGAGCTGATTCTTTGAAAATCTAAACAAGACAGACCCTTAGTCCAGTTAACCAAATCAACAAAATCAGAGATGAAACGGGAAACATCACAACAGATACAAAAAAGATCCAGAACATTATAAGGGAATACTTAAAAATCCTGTACTCTATTAAATTTGAAAACCTAAAAGAAATGGATGGATATCTAAAATCACAGAAACAACCAAAGCTAAACCAAGAGATGAACACTTTAAACAGACTGATAATGTATAAGGAAATCGAAACAGTAATACAAAACCTCCAGCATAAAAAAGCCTAGTCCCAGATGGGATTTACAGCAGAATTCTACCAGACATTTAAAGATGATCTGAAGCCAGTACTACTTAAATTATTCAAAAAGATAGAAACAGAGAGAGAACTTCCAAATTTGTTCTATGAAGCCAGCATCACTCTAATACCAACCAGGAAAAGATATAACAAAAAAGAAAACTATAGACCCATATCCTTAATCAACAGATGCAAAAATTCTCAACAAAATACTCTCAAACCGCATACAGATGCACATCAAAAAGATCAT